AGCAACGAAACTTTCTTGAACAATATCTTTTCAAATGAACATATATGAAAAATGATCTTGCATCAGATCCTCTGATAATGTTCCATGTTCTTCTTTATCAGAGTCACTCTATCCAGAGTTATGCAGCAAAGTGCTTAGTGTGAATGAATGATCAGAGTTGACTTGATTCTCAGAGCCTTTGTAGGTTGCAGCGTTGAGTTCTCACAGAGTCTTCTGAATATACTGAATCTTTATACTCTACACTCAGAGTCTTCTGTAGGTAGCGCTTCAGAGTCTTCTGTAGCTTTGCTCAGAGTCTTCTGTAGCTTTGCTCAGAGTCTTCTGTGTTGCGCTTTCTAAACTCAAAGCTTTGCGTTATATAATGTTCAGAGGAATTCTTTTTGTCTTCAGATGAATATTTATTTGATATCTGAAACAAAAACACTTGAACAAAATTAGAGTATATATTTTCTCTATACAAAATTTCATTAATGTTATCATCAAAACATTGAGATATATTAAGAACCAATCTGTGTTCTAACATACACTTCGTGAACATATGTTTAGAATCAGATGGACCCAATACTGTTCAGAGGTTGAAATATCTCTGAAAGTTAAATTCATCTGGAATCATAATGTTCAGAAGATGTAATTTGCTTGATAAGAAGCACTCATGTAATCTCCGGAAACACAAATTCAATTTAGAAAAGGTGGTTCCTCAAGTGATCAAGTGAAGATCAGAATACTTGAGAAGACGAGTGGCTGCTGTCATCGTGATTATAGTCCTAACAGGAGATCTTGAGGGATCAGATTCTGTTAGCTCAATGAACGTTATATCTGAAAGGATCACTGAATGTGTCATTGTCTGATTGTTAGTCACCAGCAGTTTGCTTGTGCATCTGTAATCAGTTTGGTTATAGTGCATTAAGTCCTTGATTGAGAAAGGCAAAATCACCTTGGAAGGGTGGACTGGATTAGCTTGAGAGTTGCTCAAGTGAACCAGAAAATATCATGTGTTCTTTACTTGTATTATGCTTTATCATTTATGCTTCCGCAATGCATCTTATAGAATCATGTAAAGCAACAAGTGAAGAGGCGAATAAGTTTATTGAGGTGAAAACCCAATTCAACCCCCCCCCCCCCCTTTCTTGTGTTTTTCTCACACCTTCACTTATAAATAAGATGGCGAACTTTGATAGTCAATGGTACCTTGACCTTCCGGTCTGACATCTATGGATACTCGCAAATACTCTGGCGTTCAAGTCAGTAACTATCGGAGATGAAACATATAAGGAGATTTTTAAGGTTTCAATCTCCCTTTATTTTGATATGACAACCTTCACAATTTCTTAGAACATAATGAGACTCTTAGGGTTTCAATCTCGCTTTATTTTGATCTAGAAACCTTCATCATTTCTTGGAACATTTTTGGCATTTTTTTGGCCTTTAGACCAATTGCCTCGTTGGGCCTTTTAATCAGGGTTATTAGCCCAAACGAGAATAGTAGCCCCCTAAAATTGGTATGACGTAGCAAAAATACAGCTTGAAGTCTTGGATGTCTTTTATATGTTTGCGTCGAATCTTTCCATGTGGGGTTTTCAATGAGTGGATTTTTCAAATATACATTATTTCTTGTCTCTTTGTATTTTGTCTTTTCTCATTGTTAGTGTACGATGGAACTTTACAAGTTTTATCGCTTATCCTACCTACCACATGAAGCCTATGATTTATAGGGTGATGGCTTGCGCCAATGAGTGATATGATTATCATATGGAAACCATAATTGTCCTTTACTATAATAACCCCCCTCCCCCCCCCCCCCCCCCCCCCATTTTTTTTCATAAAAAAGTGTCATATTTGAGAAATGCGCGGTTCTTAAGAAAATGATTAGATGTGTTGGTTTTAATAATAAAACTAATATCATTGACTAGAATACCCTTATTAATTGTAGTTAATATAGTAGTTGAATAAAATGAAAGTTATTAAATAGGAATATAGTTGTGGAAAATATAATAATAAATTTTGCATTATTATTGTAAAGAGACAATTGTTTTTAAGATAGAAAAAATACAAATGAGATGTTTTTTATGAGACAGAGGGAGTATGAATTTAGATATGATGGTGAACTTAACAACATGAATGATGCCTTGATGTTTCGGTCTAACGTCACGATAGTGTGTGTGTGTGTGTGTGTTGAGGGGGGAGGGGTCATATACAAACAATTTGACGCCCAAGTAACTGATTATCAGAGGTGAGAGTTATTCTAGGATTAGAAAGAGTAAGTTATAATGCCTTTATTAGGTTTTATAGTTTTAATCCCCATTTGTTTGATCGGGCGACCTCCTTCGTTTCTTTAAACATTTTGGACCTTTTTGCCATTTGAAAAAGTTGTCTCGTAGGGCCTTGTAATTAAAATTGTCAGTTAGGAGGGAACATGAAATATAGATTATTAAAACTATTAAAAGTTAGGATAATACTAATTTGTGCATGTTTAAAAATCCACAAATAAAAAATTTGTATTGGAAAAAGTAATAAAGCCATTATTTATAAAGTTGCATTAAATTTAAAATACAATTTCCAATGAATATTTACTATATTTACCTCTTAACTTGTGCTCTTGGAACACAAGTTAGTATTATCCTAGAAATTAAGTTAAATAAAGATTAGTTAAAAGATATCGTTACGATATAAGTTAAAGTTAAGATGTGTGAATGAGACTTAAATCTATTTTAAATTAAAATGATTTAAAAATAAAATTGTGTCATTTAATTCAGTTCAGTTTGATTTTATTTAAAATAAACCTAAATTTTGATTTAATCATAGTGATTTTTTCTAAAATACATCAAAATATATTCAATAGTACTTTTAAAAAAATACCATTTTTTTAAAATTGCTATACAATTTTCATTTGGATTGATAATTTAAACAATTTTAATAAAAATTATTATATTTTGTTCTGAGAACTTATTTCCCGTCATAATTGTTTAAAAAAAGGTTGAGTAAACAAATCAAATTCGCCTTTTAAAGATTTTTTGATATATATGTGCGAAAATATTTTTTTTATAAATATTATAGTTCATTTTCATTAAAAGTAGGACTCCCTAATTTATTTTTCTCATCTCAAATACGAGATGCCTGGCTTATCTGGGCGAGCATAATATGCTAGAAAATTGTATTTCAACTATGTATTTATTGAACTTGAAAAAGACTTATTGCAAACCTAAAATCAATTTTTTAAAAGAGCTTTGAAATTTGTGAAAATTTTATTACTGGATATATCTTCTCGGAAGAATATATCATACTACCAAATCAATTTAAAATACAATCAAATAATTAGTAGAATATATTATACACTTTGGTTTTTTAAAAAAATCTAAAATACAATTAGATCCCAAATATGCTCAATAACATTCTTCTTTTTTTTCTTTTTATGAATTTATTTTTTTAAAATCGTTTTAGATTTAAAATCCTTAAGTACCATTATCATATCATAAAATTATTAAAGAAAAATATATATTTTTTTGGCATTTTAATTCCATGTTACCAAATAATGTAGTTTTTTTGGGATAAGCAAAAAGAATATATCTTTATTGTAATTTAATAATGTGGAATTTTTTGAAAAAAGCACTTTTGTGAACTTCTTTTTCTCACACATGCTCGTTTTGACATTGTCCTGTCCTTTTTTAACAAACAAACAAGTAGATATCTTTAGTGTAAAAACAGGATGAAATTTGTAATTTTAAAATTATATAATAATAACATTTAAACGATGCTCCATTTCTATTTAATTTTCAATTTCTTATTTTCTACACATAAGTTAAATATGCTCTATAACTTTTTATATACGTACTTACTTCATAAAAATAATTGGCTTGATCACTTGTTAAAGCATGAAATTTATTATTTTCATCATAACAGTGATCTAATTATAAAAATATTTTTAAGTATTACTTTTTATCTTATTCCTATTATCCTTGAGTTGTTTAGGCACTAATTTAACTGGAAAGAATAAAAATAATCATAAATATATAAAATTAATTTTAAGATAATTGTTTCTTTTAAAATACAATTGATTAGGCCTCCCTCCATAAGTTAAAATATATAACTTTTGAATTTTTATATTAAAATTTAAAATTCAACTTTCTTCTAAATAAATTTATTCAAATATAAATAATTTTATCTTTAGCTTTTATTTAACTAAAATCAAGTTTATTATGTAAAAAAATTATTTATATAATCAATTTATTAAAAATTAATTTTTTTACCGCATAATCAAATACACATGAAATATTATTTGATTTAGGTGTGAAACTCACCTCGGTCCAATCTTTTAAAAAATGTATTTTTAATTAAATTGTATAAGTTTTGTATATAAATTATTTTTCTCTTGATTATTTAAATAATGCGAAATTTCTAGTTTATCAAAATTCAAAACATATCTCAATAATAAATATAAATTAACAAAATTTCAACCAAATATATAAATATTAATTAATTTTACTATATTTGAAATAGAATATCATCTGTATTTAACAATAAATTATTTTGACTTTATTAATTTCATACATACACATCTACTTCTCATTTAGACTATGTTTAGATAGATGCTAGTATAAGATAGATACAATTGTAAATAATATTATTTTATTTAATCTAATAAAATACCAAAACAACCTGATATGTTGATAATGATACTTTACTTAAAAATTAATTAAACTAATATTCATTTTTATTGTGTGATTAACTAAACTAATAACTAATTTTCCATTCCCACAGAATCAGATCTATAACTTTTGTTGTTTTTGTTTTTCTATATGTCTGATGATTTCCTATGTTTCTTCATTCATTCATGTTTCTTCAACTTGTCTGTCACCTCTCTTTCCTAACCCCTAACTACACTCTCATTCTCTCACACCATGCACACACACCAAACCCAATAAAATTTCAATCCTGGGTTTTTCTCATTCAACCATAAAGCTTCCGACTTTCTAGGAATCGGATTTAGATTTGTCTTTTTTATCATGGGTAGAGTTGCAGTGGGAGCTGCGGTTGTTTGTACCGCCGCCGTCTGTGCCGCGGCGGCGCTGGTGGTTCGCCACCGTATGATAAATTCCAGAAAGTGGACACGTGGATTGGCTATATTGAAGGAGTTTGAGGAAAAGTGTGGGACCCCTATTGGGAAGCTTAGACAGTTGGCTGATGCTATGGATGTTGAGATGCATGCTGGTCTTGCATCTGAAGGTGGCAGTAAGCTTAGTATGTTAATCAGCTATGTTGATAATCTTCCAACTGGGTTAGTAGATTCATCATTTTTTCTGATTTTTTATTCATGATTTGATATAGTTTATGTTCTGATATTCATATCATTAATATGCAGTTGACTTTTTTGATTTTTTTTTTGTCAAATTCTCAAAGTGATTTTGGTTTGTAATTCAGTCCGTGACAAAATTGATTGATATGTTTGATGTTTTTTAGTAGAATTGATTTTTTCTTGAAGCTAGAATTTGAAACTTTTGCGACTGTGATTGGTTTTTAGACTCAAATTTGTTGTTCAATCCATGTTCCAACTTTTGCAGGGATGAGGAAGGGCTGTATTATGCACTAGATCTTGGTGGCACAAACTTCCGCGTTCTTCGTGTTCATTTAGGTGGAAAAGATAAAGGTGTTATTAATCAGGAGTTTGATGAAGTTTCGATTCCTCCTCATTTGATGACTGGTTCTTCAGAGGTGAGTGTGTTTTCGGTAAATCATTAAGAGTGTTGAGTTAGTATACACTTTGATGTATAGATATTTATTGAATTTTGTTGTGTGTTACAGGGATTGTTTGATTTTATAGCCGCAGCTCTCGCAAAATTTGTTGAGTCGGAACCCGAAGGTTTTCATCCTCCACCTGGAAGACAAAGAGAACTCGGTTTTACGTTCTCGTTCCCAGTGAAGCAAACATCAATTTCATCTGGGACTCTAATAAAGTGGACTAAGGGTTTCAATATTGATGATACCGTAATTCTTCTTACATTGATTGTTTTTTGATGCATCCAGATACTTGAATGAGTCTCTCTATTTGAAACACATGTTACCATTTTCTTTTTGTTGTTGCCTTGAGTTTTATGAGACCAGATATCATAGTGTTAACCTCGTAATAACGGTTAAAATCACACAAAAAAATCTCTTTCAAAGAGAGTTTTGGTCTTCTAGTTTTTTTCTTTGTTTTTCGATATTATCTCGTTGCTTAGTTGTTTCCTTATGGCTTTCTTGTAGGTTGGCGAAGACGTGGTGGGAGAACTAACCAAGTCCTTGGAAAAAATTGGCATGGATATGCGAGTTTCGGCTCTAGTAAGTCTCGCTCTCCTGTTTTAGAATTTTTTTATTTTTTATAGTAAGATTTTGAAAACTAACTTGATGATGTTATGCAGGTTAATGATACTATTGGAACATTGGCCGGAGGCAGATTCTACAATCAGGATGTCATTGCGGCTGTGATTCTCGGTACAGGGACAAATGCAGCATACGTAGAACGCGCGCATGCTATTCCAAAATGGCACGGCCTAATGCCAAAATCAGGAGATATGGTAAGGTTATGACTTATTAGGAGAGTTTCTTGTGTGACGTGACTGTCTTAGAGTGCTACTAAGAAGCACGTTAAGACTAACCGGTGTCAAACTACGTTGTAATACTGTAGGTTATAAATATGGAATGGGGCAATTTCCGATCTTCGCACCTTCCTCTAACCGAATACGATCAAGATCTCGATGCTGAAAGTTTAAACCCTGGAGAACAGGTAATGATAATTAGTCTATTATATTATTTGGTTTAAATTACCAATGTGAATCTGTAACATCTTTTGATCCTTCTACTATTGTTTACAGATTTTTGAGAAATTGCTTTCTGGCATGTATTTGGGCGAACTAGTACGGAGAGCTTTATTGAAGATCGCCGAAGAAGCGGAGTTTTTTGGAGATACCGTCCCTCCCAAGTTGAAAATTCCATTTATACTTAGGTATGCCACCAAACCTTTGCCTGTTGATATCTCCTAATTTTCATTGTCTTTGCAGTATATCACTAGTTTTGCTCATTGCGTAAATCTTCATTGCAGCGCGTTACTTTGTGTAGTATTAGAATTTTCATAGTTTTAACTTCTTTTATATTAGGACACCTGACATGTCTTCCATCCACCACGACACAACGCCGGATCTGAAAGTGGTTGGAACCAAATTGAAGGATATATTAGAGGTACGCATGCTTGATATACCTATCATGCCTCACATATCATCAAGTAAAGTGCTGCATTTTTGCAAACCGATGCGTTTTCTTACTGATTTCCTTTTTGTCAGGTCTCTAACACGTCACTAAAACAACGGAAGATCATTGTGAAACTTTGTGACATTGTTGCTTATCGCGGTGCACGGCTTGCAGCTGCTGGTATTTTAGGAATCCTCAAGAAAATAGGAAGAGACACAGTTAAGGCTGGGGAGAAGCAAAAGTCGGTGGTAGCACTAGACGGAGGGTTGTTCGAACACTACACGAAATTCAGAGTATGCTTGGAGAATACGCTGAAGGAATTGCTTGGAGATGAAGCGGCTGAAACAGTTGTCATTGAGCATGCTAATGATGGTTCGGGCATTGGAGCAGCACTTCTAGCAGCTTCACATTCGCTGTATTTGGGAGTCGAAGAATCCTAATGTTATTGCAAGGGTAATCAAAGACCTGTAATATCAGTTTCATAATTTTTTTGTTTGCATACGAAATCGATCAACACGTCGAAGAAGCTATCTAAAGGGTAGACCTTGTCCATTGTGGGGATGCTCCTGTGTTGGTGACTGGGAGATTCATTATTTTGGTTGGAAAGTTTGTGTCTCTCTTGTTTTAAGGAATAATATGAATGTTATGAACTTAACTTTGAGTGTATCATGTTTTGCGGAATGTAGCCTGTTTTCAAGTATAAATAAAATCAGGACTATACTGAGAGTGATTATAATCATTTGAAATTCATACACAACTGTGAGAGTCAGTCAGAGTCAGGGTTCGAACTCTGGTGTTAATGTCCAACCTAATAATATTGGTTTTTTTCAGTTGAGCTTGGAGATGAAAAGGTAGTTTTTTTGGTTAGGAATGCGTAACTGTAACTCTAATACAAGTCAGAACTAATACAAGTCAGAACAACATAAAATCAGTATCACTAACTTCAACAAGATTCCTTTTATATCTCTTTCGATGCTGCAGGACCACCAAACAATAATACTATATTAAAGCAGACATTTTCTATCTTTCTCCTGTGTGGATCACAAATCACGTTACTAGAAAATGCTCCTCTCTATGATGTAGAAAGATGCGTCAATGTCTATGAGTAAAGTTGTTTTAGAAGTAAATGCAAAAAAAACATAACTTAGGTAAATGTTAGTGTCTCATTTTCCAACACAAACCACCACCTGAAAACTATCTTCTCATAAGAAAACTGTCAGTTCACCAGTAACTCATTCGCCTTGGACACCCTATGAAGTGAAATTACCAATCAGCACCACTTCCGCCAGACCATTTGTCACGAAGCCACGAGCACCAACGCCTTGTTTGTGCTCTGCATCCAATAAACGGAAAACTTTGTGGACACATCCACAAAGTGCTCGGAAAAGAGAATTCTTGAAAAACTTTATGGCCACACAAAGTGCTTGGAAAAGAGAATTCTTGAAAAACTTTATGGACAAAAAAAAATCTAAATCAAAGAGTAAATCCCATGGCACTCAACATGCATAAACCTCAACCCAACCAGTCGTCTTTTCCAAAGGATAAATCAATTTTCACATCAGACAATATCTCATAGTCGCGGTAACCCGGATTTTGAGGTCGACCGAAACCCCCAATATATAAAGACTAATAGAATTATAACATCTTTAACAAGCCAAAGTATTACAGACTATGATCAACAAAAACTGATACCAGCAGGATATTATAATTCTGTATTTCTTTGTTTCATATACTTAAGTTAAAACAATTATAGTTGTTCATAACCTTACATTTCCATGATTCTCCTCCCCATAAAAACTTCATCTGTGAATACTTTCTCTAAGTAATAAAACGTGGGATGCAACATTCAAAACCCCTTTCATTGAAATATTCAAAATGAACAGCCATAACGTTTATTATACAACATCATACGATTCATACCACACTCTAAAACATGCAACAACAAACAGATCCATCAAATTTCTTATTCCGCAACCGCAACATTGTCTTTGATTTCAAACCAGAGATGGTAGAGTAACATTGTTGAGTCGCTCAAGAACCAAAATAAGTGCCTGAGTACCCAAATCACCTTCACCATGAGCCTTAAGCGACACGTAAAGCTGTTGAGCAAGTGCCAAACCAGGTAAAGCAATGCCCAACTTCTCACATTCCTTCAAACAAATCCCCAAATCCTTCACAAAATGGTTCACATAAAACCCTGCTGCAAAATCCCTTTTCAAGATTCTCTTCCCGTATAAATCAAGCGACTTTGTACCCGCTGCACCGGTCGAAATCGCGTCAAGGTACAAACCAACATCGAGTCCGGCTTTGTGAGCATAAACCATCCCTTCAATTAACCCTACCATTGTTGAAGCTATTGTTATCTGATTTGCTAGTTTCGCGTATTGGCCTTTTCCGCTGCTACCCATGTAGTTCACTTTCCCCAATGGTGTAAACAACGGTTCGAGTTTTTTAACTATTGATTCGTCTCCGCCGGCGAAGATTGCTAGGGTTCCGTTCTTTGCGCCGCGGTCTCCACCAGAGACTGGGGCGTCAATTGAGTGGCAGTTTTTGGAGGATGCCGCCGCGGCGATTTCGACGGCGAGGCTGGGATCTGAGGTGGTCATGTCGACGAGGATTCCTCCGGATTTGAGTCCGGCGAGGGCGCCGGAGTTAGGGTCGAGGAGGACCGAGCGGACATCGGAGGGGTAGCCGACGATGGTGAAAACGACGTCAGATTGGGAGGCGACGTCGTGGGGGGAGGCGGCGAGGTTGGCTCCGATGTCGAGGAGTGGTTGGGCTTTGGATGGGGTGCGGTTGAAGACGGTGAGGGTGTAGCCGGCTCGGATGAGATGGGCACACATGGATTGGCCCATAACCCCGGTGCCGATCCATCCAAGGCGTGTGATTGATGGGTTTATGGGTACGGCGGCGGCGGCGGCCATGAGTTTGCGAACGATGAGGGGAGTGGAGTGGCTGATGCGGTGGTAAAGTGCACGGAAATGTAGGAATGGCAGTGGCATCTCTATTCTTTTATTTACCACATTAGGCTTAAGTGATTAAATTATCTAAAAAATAAACTTTTCAAAAAATATACTAAAAGTTATAAATTTTGGATTGAAAAAGTAATTTTGAATTTTTTTATTACACCTTAAGAATTTAATTAAAATATTGACATTATCCATAATTATAAAGAGACATATAGAATATCAGCTTATTAGGTAGTCTCAACCTCACTGACACAAGAGATTGTGAATTCAACTTTTGGTATTGATATTGTTTTAGTTAAAAATGATTAGATACATCAAAAGTGTTAATTCTCATTGTCCTAAATAAAAAGAACTACGTTGTCTATGTTGTGAGAGATATTTAAAAATTTGAGAGCTACATTTGTTGATTTGTTCTGTGTATTGTCTCAAGATGATTGTTTCTTACTTAACCCTCATGTGGAAGCCCCTTTTATAGTCTTCCATGAAAATATGACATTAATATGAGTCTCTTGACCTTCTGACGTTACATGACCATTATTGTTGTAACTTCCTTCATGAATGTAAGCTTTGAATCTCTGGTAACGTCTGCATTGATGCGTTGCCACCGTTACAATTGTTGGTATACCGGTTGAGTTCATGTTCGGCGTAAGTACCGGGTTGATGGAGGTCAGTACTCGGCCTCATTGGAGTTCGGCTGATGGGAGTCTGGCTCCCTAATCGGCCTGGGTTATGGATGATACTTGTCTAACTCTCTGCGTTTCTCGACCTTTCTTGCTATTGTAGTCTCGTTCGTGCTTAACCTTGTCCGACTACACAACTCAGCTTAAAATATATTTGGCATGTACATAAGCCCCCCGAGTACTATATCTGTTTAAAAGAGTACAGTACTCGGCAGTAACATGAGCCAGGGTATATTTGACTGTTGTCGTTCTATAAGTCGGCTTTTCTTCCTAGGTCTTTACATGTCATGAATTCCTTGGAGGGTCGTGTCCTTTTACTTTTTCCAGTGTAATGATGAATGTTGATGGCTACTTCTTAGCTATCCTTGGGTGCTGAGTCCCTTAAAGGCTTTTCTTTTCTCTTTCCCTTTCTCATTTCGGCTCTGCATCATCTTTTTCAATGATTAAACTCTTATTTCAATCTCCATCTTCTTCGTTGCTCACATGCATTTTCTTACCCTTCTTTGGTTTATCTTATTCTTCTACTTGCTTTTTAGAAAGAATGGTCGTCTTTGGGGGAACGGGGTGATAAAGGTAGTGGTAGCGACGTTCGTATGAATGTCGTGGAGAGAAAGGAGTTGTGGGAGCAATGCATACGGGAAATGTAAGATGCTTTAGGACCAGAAGAGTATAGACAGGTTATAAATGAAGTTTATGGTGATATTTTCACTTCTAAAAGTGATTTTGACCCTGACTCATCTTCCTTAGGTTTTGTAGAGACTTTGATGATGATCGTTGCTCCCTTCGATCTCGAAGTCATGAACTATAAGAATAGTGTTTTTTATGATATAGAAATCGCAACACTTCGATAAAAAAAAGCAAATATCTTCAACAGGATCCGAGGATGATGTTATCTTGGAATCATGTATTCCCAGAGAACGAGTTTGCATACTTCGTCCAAAAGGTGTAAAGGAAGATTTTTTTCTATTTTTATACTGGGGTTTTAGATGACTTTAACATTCAGATACCCTTTTATGATTTTGAAGCAGGTGTTTTACACACCGTGAACATAACCCCTTCTCAACTTTGCCCCAATAGTTGGGGTTTTATAAAGGCCTTTGAAAGAGTTTGTGAGGTTTTAAACATCACCCCCGCCATTGGCTTATTTTTCTATTTCTTTGAGGTTAAGGGTGTTGATAACCGTAGTTGTGTACAAATCGGCGGGATTCCTGGTCAGAGTTTTGTCCAGGCATACACCTCCAACTATAAGAATTATAAGAATCAATTTTTAAGGGTAAAAAGTGGGCCGAGGTATCCACGAGTATTATATGCTTTAAACGGCCAGCCTTGCTTCCCTTTTTATTGGGTTGAAAATTCAATGTCGATTACTGGCTTCAGTTTTAATAAATTAAGTGACCTGGAAACCCAGTCTTTAATAGTTCTCGACTCCTTCCATATGATGAAGGTCAAAGAATTGTTATCTCTAAGCGATGAACAACTACTCGTCTTTCTGGGTAACTGTTTAAATTTATTTTCATCATTCCTAATTACTCCTTTTCCTAACGTTCGGATATGTTTTTATAGATACGATAACGAGTCTATCCATAGCTGAACAAAAGAAGTTAATGCAGAAAGCTCGAGCAGTCCGGAATGGAGCCGGGAACTCTATATTGTCGAAGTCGGACCCGAGCGGATTAGAGGTCTGTCAACCAAAGCAGATAAGGATTAAAAATACTAAGGCTCCTCCGAGTAAGGGTGACATTCAACCCAATACTCCTCAGACTCAAGAAGAGATTTTACAAGTTGCTCCGA